GGTTGCCACAATCACCCGCTGCTTGCCGCCCATGAACTCCCCCAACATGCTTGCCTTGCCAACCGCGTGGTGATGATACGCATGGCACTTGAGCTTCTCGGCTAACCCCTTGACCTTTGGCACTGAGTTGCCGTACACTACAATCTTGCCGCTCTTATACTTTCGGACCTTCTGCTGTACCATCGCCAACACCGTTGCCTCTACCTCCTGTCTCTTCCTCTCCTTCTCTACCCTTACCACCCGGTACGCTATGTTGCTCCGTGCTGTCGGTGCCCTAAACATTCTTACCTGCCCACGCTCAAAATGCATTCGCCGGAATAACTCGTCCTCCTCGCTGGGTGGCAACGTTGCTGTCAACATGAACATCTGCGTCTCTACAGCCACCAGCTTGCCTAGCTGCTGCATCTGCTTGCGGAACGTGTACTGCCGGTTTAACACGATATGGCACTCGTTAATAATAATCCGATCTAGCTGCCGCGTCGCTCGTAGCCGGTTCAAAAACGTTGCAAATTCCTCTCCAACTGCCGACTCGGGCGTCACTAACACCACCGCTGCTGCGTCTGGCGGACGCCGACTCTGCCACTCTACGCACGATATCCCTAGCTTCTTGCACCGCTGTGCCATGTCGCCACGCAACGCGATCAACGGCACTACCACCACCGTCGTGCCGCCCTGCTCTGCCCACGCCGGCAACATGAACAACAAGCTCTTGCCTGCCCCCGTCGGCATCACCGCTACTACGGGACTCTCGCCTGCTGTGATGGCTTTGATCGCTGCCTCCTGCACGCCCCGGAACTCGGCCTCCTCGCCCATCATGCGCTTCAGCTGCGCTCTCGCGTCCATTTTTCTTAGCCGCTGCCACCGATCCACCCTTGCCTCGTCTGCCTCGCTCTCAAACGGCGCTCTCTTCCGCTTGCTGCTTCTTCTCTGGTCGTCCACGCCTGCCTGGAAGCCCAAAAATCTATGCCAATCCGTGCTCGATGCCCGGAACTGCTGCCGCCTATCCGCCACGGCCCCTGACTGCTCCATGATCCCTCGCGCGTATACCAGTCCCGCCACGTGCGACGTATGGCCCGCCTGCTCGTCGGCAATCGAATCTCCTGCCTGCTCCTCAGCCCACTCCTTGTTCTCCTCGCCCTCATCTGCCTGGAACGCTGTCGATCCACGCAAAAACCGCCGGCTGATGCCAATCGCCATCTCCCGGTACCCGGCAAACGTCCACTCCTGGCCCATCGCGATCCGGCTCTCGCGCTTCAACGCCTCCCGCAGCCGATCGGTCGTCCACTTGCGGCCGCTGGGGTCTGCTGGCCACATATGCGACGAAACTGCCTCCTTCTCCCACACCAACGCCTCGAGCCGCTGCTGGAACGGCAACACCAGCCACATGTACCACACTACTAGCTCGCCCACCTCGCGCGGCAAATATCGATGGATAATCTTGACGTCGCCGCTGACTTTGTATCCCTTGTGGTACCGCGTCACAAACACTACCATGCCGTCCTCGATGAATATATTGCGATGCCCCCCTTGCACTGTGTTGCTATGCCGTACGCTCAGTAGCTCCGGCCCTCGCGCTGGCTGCCCGCCCGTCATATGCATCAACACCGCCAGCTTCTCGCGAAATTCTACCACCCGGTCCATGTACCGCTCCACTGCCTGTCGGTCTACCCCTGACTGCGTCCCGGGCTTCATGAACCGACTCCGGATGCTGGCGCTCTTACCTACCCGCTCAAATAACCACCTCTCGCCGTCGACGGGCATGCGCGTGCGATGATCCTTCAAAAAGTTCCATCCTGGCCGCTCATCGGTTGGGTTATCACGTATGCTCTCCCATGGCACTGCCGGCACCGGCGCTGCCTTGCTGCTAAACATTAACTCCTCTGTTAATAATCGCCGGCTCTCGCTAGCCAGCCCATGTACCATGCCGCGGAACTGCGCCATGCTAAAATGCAGCTCTTTGTACAGCAGCTCGTCGCCGTTCGTCCACTCTACATGCCCGCGGGTTGTAGTGTTGTAATGGATCTTTAATCCATACGTCCGCAAATCCAACATCCACTGCATGGGGCTATGGCTGCCGCGCACTATAAACCGGTCCATCATCCTCTGCACTAACTGCAAACACCCCTTGGGACGCCGTCGCTGGCTCGGCCCGCTCTCGTACGCGCTGTCATCCAAGTCGTCGTCCGTCTCATCGCCGCTATCCTCGTCGGGCCCTGACATCTCTAGTCCCTTCTGCACGACCATAAACCGAGCGATCTTGATCACCGCCGACAATATCGGCGGGTACTGCTCTGGCCCCTTCCATCCGTCCTCCTTGACGCCTAGCACCGCTAACGCGCACACCAGCGGGCTGTCGTACTCTCTACGGGTAATGCGGTTGTTGAGCAACGCAATACAAAACTCTAAACACGCTTTTTGTATCTTGGACAACTTCTTAGGCCTGGAGCCTTCTCCCTGACCTGGCTCTTCCTCAGCTACCTCCATCGCCTCATCTCCCTCGTCCATCATCTCCTCGTCCATCATCTCCTCGTCCAGCTCTTCTCTCGCCTCGCCCATCTCCTCTTCGTGCCCCTCCTCTCCGTCTACCTCCCGTTCTGCTTCTTCCATCAACGCCTCCCATGCCTCTCGCTGCCGCCGCGTGAACCGATACTTGGGGCTCTTCCACGCGTGCTCCTTCTGCGTGCGTGCAAAAAACATCAACATCTGCTGCCACGGCCGTACGTGCTTCACAACGGCGTCTTTATCCATATACGGCTGTAATGGCTGGAACCGAGTTTAGTGCATCTCTGTGCGAATGGCCTCTAACCGCACAAACACGCCAATTTGGTCAATAACGGACGCCTGGCTGAACCGCGCCAACCCGTCCATGGCTGCCCAGATTGCTGCTTCGACCGGCTCGGCTTGCTGCTCCTGTCTGGCATCCGGCTCCGCCACGGGCTCCTCAATACATGCCAACAAATCCGGACGCTCTATGCCCACCAAATACGGCAACCACTGCGTCCGCTCCAACCATGGGTTCACCTCGTCGCGCTCGCCCTCCTGGATGGTTGTTTGCGCTCGTTTTTCGATGGTCTCCCACGCCCTGGCCATCTGCTCGCCCACCTGCGCCCATGCGGCCTCGCTGTTGACGGGTACCACATTGGGGTTATTTTCGTCGGGCTCGTGGACCTGGAAATACTGCGATCCCTGGCCTTGCACTAACAACCGCTGGCAATGCACTTTCTTGCAATGCTGGCTGATACGCTCTTGTATCTCCTTCTGCTTCTCTCGGGTTGGGTGTCCGCCCTTCCCTGCTGCCGACCAACTGTGGACGTCTCGCCAATGCTTCCTTATACCTTCTGGTTTTCTGAATATTCGGTGGCAATGGTTGGGGTCAACCTGGCACATTAATCCGTCCTTGTACACGGGCAACTGATGGATGGCTTAATGACCTGGCTAGGCACCTCTAGCTCACCGGCATACTGTATTAAACCAGCCTAATTGCCTACTTCCTCTGCTATGGCTTTGGCTTGCTTCCGCTTGGCGGGATGGGCCCGCTGCACATGGCTCTTAATATGGCTGGGCAAAACGCCGTGTTGGCACTCTCTGCACACGGCCAACGCGTACTCAACTAAATGCTCAAAATGCTGGCCTCCAACGGTGCTCTCTGCCATAATTACACGACAGCTGCAATAACAATAAAATTCCACAATATAGTCTGCAAATAACAACTAAAAATGGGCTGTGTTGGCCTATGGACACAGCTTTATATCTCGCGTTATGGACGCGTCTTCGCTTGTTGGAGTGGGTGAACCGTACGCATAGGGAAGAAGTTGAGGATTGACTAAGGTTCTATTGTAGAAGCTATGGAAAGTTTATGTAGGTGAGTGACCATAAACAGCGCTAGTCTCAGATAGGCATCGTCCCATCACTAAACCGTGACAGATTATGATACATAGGCTACAGCAGTACTTGAGGTAGCAACAAGCCTGCTTAACAGGCTTTCTTCGCTAGAGATCCTGCATCGCTACCCTCACCTAGTGGGCGTTTTCGAGCTCCAAGGTAGGTCCGAAATCCAAGGAAACTATGCCACTCCCGGCTGACTGCTCGATACTCTGCGCTCCGTGCCTTAACATGGCCAGGCGCCTCCTGCAGGCCTCGCGCGTATACAGTGCCCGCTATCCATGTCCCATGCGTTGCTTGCTGATCAGCGACTTTCTTGTCCACGCTGTAGTCACGCTTAAAACCGCCGCATAACAGGTGTTGGCGAGAGATAGCAATAGCAAGGTGGCGGTAGGTCTGGATCCCAAGTGTGGTGTCGAGGTACAGACGCGCTTCCCGTGAGATGACTTTAGTAAGCCGGCTTGGATCCCATGTCCCTCTATCTTTCGGCCACAGAAACGTTGAAGCTGGATCTTTGCGCTTGTACACGAGGATATCTAGCTGCTGCCAGAAGGGCAGGACAAGCCAGAGATAGTACACTAGCAGCTCGCTCACTTCCTTAGGTAGATATCGGTGGATAATCTTCGTAGATCCAGTGATGTTGTAGCCCTTGTGGTACGAGGTGACTGTACTAATTAAGCCTTCTTCGACAAAGACGCCGCGGTGCTGTCCCTGGGCACTATTGCTGTGCTGCAGTCCGATCAGCTCCGTCCCGCGCGGTGGCTGGCCACCCGTCATGTGGATGAGGAGGAGCAGCCGCTCAAGGAACGCGTCCACCTTGTCAAAGTACGCCTGCACCGCCTTCTTCTTCCACTGAAGCTGCGATTCCGGGCTTATAGTAAGCATCTCGTCCCTAAGCCAGTCGTTCTCAAGTACCCTGTCAAGTAGCCATCTCTCGCCGCCTTGATCAAGATGGTCCGCGTTGCGCTGGTCTTGAAGGAAGTTCCAGCCCTTCTTCTCGTTGCTGTGGTTATCTTGGAGGCGGTAGAGGAGGACCTGCGGCACTACATCGTCGCGAGCTTCGTCAGGATGGAGGAGAAACAGGCCTTCTAGCTCTTTCTGGGCCTTGTTAACTTCGACAGCAATAAACTTACGTAGCGCGTTCATGCTAAAGCCCGTATCCTTGTATGTGACTGAGCTTCCGTCCTCTGACCAGGCAATGTAGCCAAGGGACGTCGTGTTGCTCACCACCTTCTTCGCGTACGACCGCAGGCGGCATGCCTAGTCAAAGGCGGTGCGAGATCCCCGCACCATGAACCGCTCCCTCATCTCGTCTAGCATGTCCGATGGGTGCTCTACCTCGCCCTCTTCCGCAGCCACTACCGATCGCTGTACTACAAGCATCTGTGCCATCTTGATAAACTTAGATAGGTCAGGCGAGTAGATCAGCGGGCCACGGAAGACGCCACCAGGGTTCTCGTCAATGCCTAGGACAGCTAGGAAGCTTAACACTACGCTCTCAAAATGGTCGCCTTGGATTGTGTGGTCGAGTAGAGCAATGCATAGGAGCAGACAGGCCCTGTTGAGGTCGCAGACAACCTCCTCTGCGCCCTCTCCTTCTGCAGGCGGCGTGTCGCTTCTAGGTAGGCGCGAGAGGGAAGAGAGCTCCTCCGCAAGGTGAAGGGCCCGATCAAGGTGGAATAGCTGGGCGGTAGTGAGCCTGTGTAGCAAGGGGATGCTCTGCGTAGGCTGGCTTGTTCGATACACGAAGCAGAGAAGGCGCTTCCAGATGCCCTTGTACGCGCGGAACGTGCTCTTAGCTAGCTTGACTATAAGCATACGATCGTGCTTGCCCGAACGGCCGGCGATAAAGCTGTTAATCTGTGCCTGGTCAAAGACGCTAATCTTGTCCTCGCAGATAGATTGGTGCGCGCGCTCGATAATTCGGTCGAAGCTCTCTCCAAAGAGGACAAGGGAAGGCTCAGTAATTGGATTCGCTGCGTACGCCAGCGGCGCAACGTCAGCCATGTTCAGGCCGTGGAAGTAGCGTGGCCACCGCGTCATCTCAAGCCATGGCGATACCTCAGTCTTCGAGACCTGGCTGTTGTAGATCTGCGCTCGAGCGTCCTGCTCGTCGTTCCCTGCTGTGAGCTGCTCATCGATCAGGGCTCGGAAGACATCAGCATGCCCTCTTGGTCTACTCTTCACTAGCTCCTGCACTTTATCTGGGACATTGACAGTAAAGAAGGAGCTCTGCGCGCCTGCGGCGAAAAAGCGCTGGCAATAGACCTTAGTGAACATAGGTCCACTGTCCTGAGCCGGTATACCTGCTATCTTTGCTTGGCGGCCTGGCTTCCGTGGCACAAGGCGATGTACGTTGAAGTGCCTTCCCATAGAGATCTCAGCTTCTTTTCCTTGTGAGCGCAGCACAAAACTGCAGCGCGTACACTGGTAGCCGCGGTGGAGTTTAAGCTCAGGAATAGGCAGGTTTGTTGCAGGCGGCGTTGGGAGCTTTACTATGGCTGGATCAAGGAGTTGGTATCGATCGCAGAGATAGTTCGCAAGCAGAGTAGCTGGGTTCCGTGATTGGGGGGCGTTAAAGAGATTTGTAGCGGCATGACGCGCATCGTAGAGGTGGTGGACTTTGATGTGGGTAGAAAGCGTAGTAGGCGGGACAGCGTAGCCGCATGGCTTGCAGATTAGCACGCTTGAGGGAGAATAGAATGTAAACAGGTCCATAGCTGCGGTGGTGGTGGCTGTAGTAGGCGTGCGGCAGAGAGAAAGAGCGCACAAAAGGAACACTTTGCAACGTAGCGTAGTAGTGAAAAACGCGCTCGCGTTACGCGTTACGCGTAACGCGCTGCTGCAAAGCAGCGTGTTTCTTATTATTTACATTTGCTCTTTCAAAGTCTAGGTGAAGGTGGAGTAGGTGATGCGTGATAGATCCAACGCACAGTAGTAGATATTCTGTCCTGCAGGAAGCTAAACGCGGGAGCAGCGAAGAACTTTGATGAGGCGAGGCGCTAGGCAGGGGTGCGATGCTGCGACGGCGGTGATTGGCTGTTAAATGGAGTGAGGGCTCATTTATTCAAGTATATATCTTAGTGTTAGTAGTGTGGTCACGAACGCGTCGCTTGGGTACACGGTGGTTTTGCGGAAATTTGACCGAGGTTGTGGGGTGCACGGGCGGAGTGTGGGAAGTTTGATCAAGTTTCTGGGGCGCACGGGCAGAAGGGGAGAAGTTTGATTAAACTTCTATTAGCCCAGTATGACCGAATCGCTTGTTAAACACGTTATATTAAGTTAAAGTGTGATTTCTTTCACATACGACCATAGGACACTGAGAACTAGTTCTCCCTCGCGATCCGTCAATTCTCGTTGTACCGTTTCCAGGTCAATTGACTGGTATAGTAACCGTTTTCGGTCATCGCGATCCTGTTGTCAGTTTACGGCACAGCGCCCACCACAGCCCACTTCAGACTATTAACGGGCATTGAGCACTGGGAAATGTATGCGCTATGGAGCTTAGTGTGTGCTATTCTGACACTGGCGGCTGTCAAGTTTTTGGCGATAACCCGCCTCCTTTCCACAATCTTCACTCTCTCATACCGTCGAGTTCTTTCCCTCCTAGCATCAATATGGCTCCTCCTAAGAAAAAATCTAAGGTCGATCTTTCACATCTACGCTCTCTTGTTCATCAGGAGAAAAGCACCTGCTCCGCTTACAGCCGATGATATCAAAAAACATGATGATCCCGTCAAGCTTTAAGGCGCACGAGTATACAATGTCTCTATGGGCAGAGTAAGTATTTAAACTTATGATATAGTTACCTTCGCTCATATTATAGCTTCACTGAATCAGTTTTACAAGAGCCCAAAAGCGCTACGATTGAATCAGCGCCAACAGTGTTTCGAATCCAGCTTTTCCTTCGTTGGCTTGCAGCAACAAGGACAGGGCAGCTGGAAGAGAACATCACGGATACAACAATTCGCAACCGGTTATCATCGCTCAAACGAGCCATTAAGCTTTATACTGGCTACCAGTATAGTGCATTACAGAACAAGGAGCTCGAAACATTCATTCAGAAGGACCTCGTGCAGAAAGATGAGCTTGCAACTGGCGCTTACACAAAAGCAATTGCTCCTTTGCCCGTAGCAGAGGACCTGATCCAGTTTATGTGGATGTGCGATGAATATCAACATCCACATCCACGAGCACGCCTACAGCTGGCGTTCTCAGTCGTACTTATGACTCTATTAGGCAGCCGCCCTGGTGAGTTCATTGAGTCAGGAGCATGGAAGCACAGCAACGAAGGACTCCTTTATGGGGATATCGATCTAGTCCGATACCAAAACGGCACATACACAGGGTACCTTCTCCACCTACGGTTACGCAATCGCAAGGGCCATCGAAACAACAAAAAGCATTCGTAAGCATAATCTATTACAGTAGCATTTGTACAGGAGAGCTGACTAGATAGCGAAGCCCTATCATGCTTTTATACGAAGAAGCAGAAATGCGATCTATGTGTCCAGTTACTTATTTCCTAGCCTTGGCCCTAGCAGATGGCGTCTTTGATGGTTGTGAATCCTTTGAGGACATCGAAGCAAAAGAGTTACCACCAGGAAGCTCATTGTACAAATATCGCTACAAGTCAGAAGCAAAACAAAGGCCGATATTGCGAAGCATCAACCCCAATGGCATAGTCTCGGACAACGAGATCCTCACATACAACTGCTTCAACAACATGCTAAAGGGAATCGGGCAAGCGAGCTGGATATTGAAGATAGGCTGAGTGCATACTGCTTTCGCAGGGCGTTATCCAAAGCAGTAGAAAGTACGAAGCATCCTATACAATTCGATTCCTGGATCTTAGCTGAGTATTTTGCAGAGACAGCTAAACCTGCTCAGATGAGTCTATTAATGGGTCATACCAACGATGATACAGTAATGTATTATATATCTGGTATCGTTGGGGTGGATAGTCAAACCATGGTCCATGGGAGAGAGCAAAAGTCAGAACTTATCGACGAAAACACCTCTATGATGTCAAAACGAAACCTTCTAGCACCTATGCCACCTGGATCTCAACTTTCGGATCGTCCAAGTAGGAACGCGGATTTAACTGATAGCCCGGTCATTACTCTTTCAGAACGTACTTCAAGCCAAGAGTATGCATTACGCCGCCAATCAAGAACGGTTGCATACCGTAAGCAGCGCGGAGACTTCTTTGATGGGAAGCTATTGGCTCCTCCATGCGCAGTCACGCCAACTCATCAAGCAGCTTCAGATTCTCAAAATACAGGGTCGAATCCTTTACGCTCTCCGTCGCGCTATCTCAAGGCGCTGTGGAAATTTGAACCAGAACGGGAGGCTATCGCAAAATTGATGTACAACTACTCTGCGAGCAAAGTCACGCCATACAGCGGCGCGGCTAGCAGGATCGAGATTCCAATTGGTGACCTCCTTCAGCCGATGATAAAACTAGCTCACCCGAAGAAAGAGCGATATGTATACGCATCCGCTGGACCGACAAAGGATAATTGCTGCAGTGTGTGTGGATACCAATTCACTGGCAAGTACGTAGTATTACTTCGTGGAAGGGAACAGAACTGACTCCGATA